CAAACGCTAATCCGACAACACCCAACGATGTGAAACGAAGACCACTTGGAGCGCATCTACGAAGGCTTGCAAGTGGAGTACCGACTATTCATAAAGCGGAGCGAATTCCAGACTTTCGACGAGTTGATGGGGCTCACGGTCGAATATGAGCTGCTGGAGATGCAAAAAGCGCGGACACCACCGCTTTCAGTGTAGAGGCCCGAGGTACTATTCTGCTCTCGATGCGGAAGAGATGGTACCCTCTTCAAGGATTGCCTGTGTCGCAAGGAGAAAACAGCCACCCTCAAATCATCCGCCGATCAACCAACCACGTCTCGACCAGGCTGGAAAGGTCCCGATGGCCGCTTCTATGCGTGGCATGGATGTCCGATCCCTAATCGATACTGGAGCCCCGTTAACATACATCAATGAATACCTACGCAAGCATCTGGAGCAGCGCAATATTCAGCTACAACCCGACAAACAAAACGTGCAACTAGCAGACCAAACGTCAAAATTGAATAGAACGGCCGAGCAACAAGCACACTGGTTGCCATCATTCCCGATCTGGCCGAAAGAATGATATTAGGAATGGACTTTTTGCCGCAACGGGGCATTGTCGTGTCACTAGACAACCAGCCACTAGCTCCCACCCCACCGCCGAGAGCCGATCCTACGGCCGTTCTGTGCAGCTTAACCGAAAGGACGCACCTGAAAGAGAAGCAAAACAAAAGACTGGCCGATTTCTTGGAAATCCACAAAGTGCGAATTTCCTAAATTACCGGGCCAAGCACCACCGACGAACGCGAGATCACACCCCGGCATTATCGACCACTTCAACAACGCTACTACCCACGCAATCCTGCCATGCACCACGTGATACGGAGACAGCCACATCCATCCGTAAACGCCGTTGGCGACAACCAACCCCACCGGACGAACCACAGCCCATTTCACCACGGCGACCGCCATTTGAAGCCGTGCCATGGCCACCAAACAAACCACGGGTCCTTAGCGTTAAAATATTTCACGATCCACCGCTCGCCCACGTTGCGCCCAAGCCACGCGACCAGCTGTTCGCCATATCGGACCACACAGCCGAAGCAGCGACAACAGCCGCCAAAACCACCAACTCAGCCCGGGAGACCACCGCCGAACCAAGGGTCACCCAACCATCACCCGATGTGGGCCCGGCTAAAGAGAATGAGAAGCCGGCCACCAGAGACACAGCTGATCCATTCAAAAAAATCTGCGGTTGAGACGATCCAAAACAACCGAGAGCGATGGCGATTCCGATGGAAGATGCACCGCATGCGCCATACAAACAGACGCGAGCCACGCCACCGTCCAACCAAGGTCATCGAGTTCACGAATTAGACAAACAACACCTCTTTTCTTCAAGGAAAAATTTGGAAATTTATTTTTGAAACCAATTAAGCTTAAGATAACTTGAATAATACAAAAAAAAAAACAAAAAAAAAGTACATATTCATTATTTAACAACTTACAACTGCACATAGGTACAACTACCCTGTAGGATCTCGGAATAGACTTGGAGCACACCACAAACTAGACTGCAAGTGGTTGTAAGTAGTCCAAAGTTTGGTCCAACAACATGTAAAATTCTATTTACATTTAACATTGAATGTCCTAGGCTCGGACCAATTGTCCGCTTCTTCAATACGTTGTAACCAATGGGGAATAAAACACAAAAATAAAACATGCGCCAGCTGCGATTCGAACCGGGGTTCTCAGATTTTTCTTGGTTGGTCTAGATACAAAGCTACTATACCTACGACTATATTTTTCGAGCAATTGGACCAATCTTTCCTTTTTTTAGTATAGCTCGACCCTGCGCCACCTATCGGAAAAGTTAACAGTTTGTGCACACCTCCTCCGAAACACCTTTTCAACAAAGCAACAATCGCTCGAATCCGTTAAGAAACATAGGAGAAAATTGTTCCCAATTAATTCATGCTTGCCTATTTATATATAGATATATGAGAACATATTGCATGGAACTGAGTTTGCCATACCTCGACTTTGGAGCCAGCTATCGGGCAGGTGTATTTACACTTATGTAGCGATTGTAAATTCTGAGTTTGAAGCAAATCGGACTACAAATGCGATTTTTTAGTATAGCTTGACCCCTGCGCCACCTATCGGAAAAGTTAAAAGCTTGTGCACTCCTCTTCCGAAACACCTTTCCAACAAAGCAACAATCGTTCGAATCGGTTAAGAAACATTGGAGAAAATTGTTCCCAATTAATTCATGCTTGCCTATTTATATATAGACTAGCTTATNTTCACCCCGCGCTTTTATACAAATAGGAAAAATAATTTAATGATGTTAGATTTTATTTCTGTGCCCATTTCGTTATAGCTCGTTATTTTCTAAGCGAGTTAAGGTATTTAGGCCGTTTAAAACTATGAAATTATAAAATCTCCTCTCTCCTCCCTCTAAGTTTACCTTAAAAGGTTTCCAGGTATACGACGCGTGAACGTGAAACCTTCTTGGAGGTGCCACGGCGAGTTCTAATATTTCCAACTCAAATTTAGTAACTTGGCCTTGATAAAATACCACTTCTCATTACTGTAGCAAATGCCTCAAGAGAGCTTTAGATTATAAGGTCGAACCCGGCTCTCCCTTTTCCATTTAATGAAATTTATTCTGTCTTCCACAAACACTTCCAGGGATATGTGGCAAGAAAAAGTCAATTTGTACAGGAAGTGCCACGCCCATTTTTCTTATAACCCTAATCTTCTTCCATGAATTTAGAATTGATTTTACATACCCCAGTACCAAGTCCCAGTACTCTACCATGAACACCTCTAGAGATAAGCAGTATAAAACAGTAAATTTGTACGGCAGGAACCATGTCCCCTTTTCGAATAACGCAAATTCTTCTCTATGAGTATGGAATTAATTTTGTATACACATCTCGGTGCCAAGTTCCAGTCCTCTGCAATAAACACCTCCAGAGATATGCAGCATAGAAAAATCAATTTGCATGGGAGTTGCCACACCACCTTTTCCAATAATTCTCATTTTTCTCCATGAGTATGGTATTAGTTTCACATAAATAAATACATATGTATTTCCATACCAAGCTTGAGTGTGAGCTTTACCCCAAACATTTGAAGAGATATGCAATATGAAACTTTCAGTCAGTATGGGAGGTGCTACGCCTCTTTTCCAAAAACGTCCATTTTTCTCCGTGAATATGAACATGATTTCACACAGTGTTGGCAAACTGTTAATCTGATTAATGATTCAAATGTTAATCGCGTTTGACGATTAAAATTAATTAGTCGTAATCAACTGTACGATTAATGATAACATTTTTTGAATCGTTAATCGCTGGCTGCGATTACGTTTAATTAATTTAAAACATTAATCGTTAATCCAATTAAAAATAAAATCTGATTAATTTGTCTAGTTTGTCCGAGTTTGAAACCAAACACCAGTTATAGTAATTATTTGTGTTTTACGCTTATAAAAAGCACATAATATAAAAAAATTATAATTATTGTTATTAGTAATACATAAACTGGGAACTTTTACAAACCTAGTTTGTAAAACGTTTGTTGGTATATATCTTAATGAATATGCACACCAAATTACTTAGATTGATGAGGAAACCCGACTTAGCCATACCGGATAAACTTGGTTTTTGTGCACAGGGAAATTCCAGCATAACTTAATGAATCACCAAACCTACTTGATCAAATGAAGAGTTAATGATTAAAAATTATTTTTTTAATCGCGGTTACGATTAACTGTTTAGTCAGATTAAAATTAATCATGATTAACTGTAATCAGATTGAATTTAATCGAATTAACTTACTGATTAAAACATCAATCGATTAATACCAATATTGATTTCACATACATATCACTATACCAAGTTTCAGTTCTCTCCCACAAATACTTCCAGAGATATGTATGTANAGTTACCGGACTTACTTTCAGTCTAAGACCATCCTTCCGAAATCCGTAGTAAGTGTACTAAATTTCGTTCTGATCGGAACACCGGTTAAGGAAGTAGCCTATTTTTTCAATCCAGGTCATACACCATCTTTGAGCAAATTTTCATTTTCAAACAGGTGGCAATTCTTAAAAAGGTAGCCTATTTTCCAGTCTAGGTCATAAGCTATCTGTGTACAAACTTTCATGCAAATCAGTTCAGGCATTTACACGTATTAGTTTAATTAAACTTTCCTAATACGTGATAACTCTTAAAATAGTAGCCTATTTTCCAACATAGGTCATAAGCTATCTCTGTGCGAAATTTCATGCAAATCTGTTCAGTCGTTTCCGCGTATTAATTTTATTAAAACTTTTTTAACAACTCTTTGGCAACTCTTCCAAAAAATTCGCCTATTTTCCACTGTAGGTCATAAGCTATCTGCTTGCAAAATTTCATGCAAATCCGCTCACATTCTTCCGCGTATTAATTTAATTAAACTTTTCTAGCAGGTGGTGACTTAAAAAAAGTAGCCTATTTTTTAACCTAGCTCATAAGCTATCTGTGTGAGAAGTTTCATGCAAATCCGTTCACATTCTTCCGCGTATTAATTTAATTAAACTTTTCTAGCAGGTGGTGACTTAAAAAAAGTAGCCTACTTTCTAACGTAGGTCATAAGCTATCTGTGTGAGAAGTTTCATGCAAATCCGTTTAGTCATTTCCGTGTATTAATTTAATTAAACTTTTCAACAGGTGGCAACTCTTCCAAAAAATTAGCCTGTTTCTCACTGTAGGTCATAAGCTATCAGCTTGCGAAATTTCATGCAAATCCATTTAGTCGTTTCCGCGTATTAATATAATGAAACTTTTTTAACGGGTGGCAACTCTTAAAGAATAGCCTATTAACCAATCTGGGTCATAAGCTATCTGTGTACTAAATTTCATGCAAATCCGTTCAGTCGTTTCCGCGTGATGGTTTCCCAAACATCCAAACATACAAACTTTCACATTTATAATATTAGTAAGATAAGATTAGTAAGATAAGCAAATATACTTACCCTCCACCAAGACTGCGGGTGGTCGAATAATATGGCTCCCAAATGTTATATTCAAAGGGATCGCGATATGTCGGTATTTCGTTCGTAATCTCCGCAGCTCTGGATTGTCTCTTTGAAAAGCTGCAAGTGGAATGGAAAAAATAGTAAATTGAGAAGTCGAAAACGAAACGACTATTTAATATAAAAAATCAAATAAAAAACTTTATAAGTTACCACGTTTCTATAAATGGACTGAAAATTCGAAAATAGTTTTTCCTGTCCCCATAAAATTTCTCTTTATAAGTTTTGATTTTAAAATTGTAGCAAAGGTCATTATAAAAAATTTGTGATTTAAACTGAAGATAGACTTATTTGATATCAATTATTTTGGGAAAGCAAATTTAAAATCAACGAAAAGCCAAACAAAAATCTAAATGTTTTATTTTTCTCAAATAAATTTCTAAAAACGCTATCTAAATCCAAATGATTTATTCAAATGTTTAACATTGAATTCAATTCCATTGAAACGTACTATAATTCTTCTAATCTATACTGGAATAAGACTGTAGATTGTTTTTCTGTTTGAACTCACTAATCTCCGGAACTACTGAATGGATTTTCACGGGGCTTTAACTGGTATCTAGACAGAGACCTCGGACGTAACATAGGCTATATTTTATCAAAACTGGAATGTGGATAAAAAAGATATACCAATTTTTGCAAACAAAATTTACTTTGCACCAAATTCTTTTGAATACAATTTTTCTTTTCAACGGCATCAACATATGCCAGTGTTTATTTTTCGTTATTGATATTTTTTTCAACTGAAATAGTAATTAGTGTCGTTCGTACATATTGAAAACCGTCTTCAACATAGATACATACGAGGTTAAACGTTTCTCGCGGAGTTTTGTGTCTTACAAGAGTGGAGTGTTTCTAAGAATCCGTAAGTCAAAAGATAATCGGTAGGTAGAAACTGATTTATTTAAATTTCTTTGTGTTTCGTGTATCACTATGGGATTTTGTACATACAAATTAATTCGATATTTTGAAATCGCTCGCATGAAAAGCATGTTCTGTGAATTAAGTGGATATAGTTCGAGGCATTCCCTTGAGTCAAGAATTGACATTTGGAATTAATTATATATTTACACTAGCAAATGCCTGGCTTGCTTCGCGGCGCCTTATAAGAACTTTTACGTTGAGCAATACAAAAATGGGGTTGCTATACAAAAACGGTTTTAATATGACAATGAGTTGACGATCAATTTATTGAATTTGTTAGTGTTTGGTATTTTAGGCTATTTCTTCACTTTCCAGCCAGACGTTTCGATGACCTTCTCAGCATCTTCAGGGGCGATTTCTTTATTAAATAAATAATATAAAAAAAACTTTTTAATATACAACGCTTTTATAAATGGACTAAAAGGTAGAAAATAATACTTCTCAGTCCCATAGAATTTGTTTTGATAACTTTTGATTTTGAAATTTTAGCAAAAGTCATTATAAACAATCTATGAAATTGAAAAT